TCCACTTAACAATCATATTGGACAAAAGAGAATGAAGTGTGCGGGTACAGTACAGTACACACATCTGAAGCTCACTGCAACTCTTCCTTCTGGCACTATACCCTATAATTAAGTGGCACTTGCATGCTATTCCAATGGATGACTTCACACTACAATTTATGCTGGTGGATGTGTCAAAAGGAACACAACCTGAGTTAACAGCAAACAGACAAAGGCCGTAATTTCTGCATGGCTTGGGGGGGCTAAGAGCACTAGATCTTAGAGAAACTTCACTCTGGAAGTAACCTTAGAAATCTCAAGATGACTTTGCGTTGACTGGTTCAGAATTCTCCAAGAGATTAATGTCCAAAACGATGCATTCATTTGGAGAGTCTGGAATATTTTGAGGAGGAAGATGTTTGGTAGATTGCAGCAATAGGAGAAATAGTCTCCTGACCCCCATCCTTCACCATTTATTACCAAAATGATTTATCAGCTATGATAAGAAAAAGCAATAGGCCATGTATCTTTATATTTTTGTCAGTGTAGCATAATAAACTGTGGCGCATATAACTGGTCCATGTTGTATAAGAAATTCTTAAGAAATGCACAATGCAAACTTCCATTTGTATTCTTAAAATATGCTATGTGTGAAGATTAAGGCTGCTGGATAAATCTTACGAAAGCAGATGTAGCAAATATACAGTTTTTTTTCCCAAGACAAAACCAAGCATTTTAGAAAGACCCCTTCATGCCTTTCAGAACAGAATAGAAAACCCAGATACATAAAAATTGACCATATTGTGCCCAGAAAGTGCAAAAATTAGCCACTAAATCCAACCTGGGATTCAACATAGGAATACCCCCCAAAAGAAACTTCTCGACTTCATAAATAGCCCAAGTCTATTTTAATTGTATCTTTTTAGATTGTTTTATTATCTTTATCTGACAAACTACCCAGAATGACTTGTATTGTGACATGGGTGATGCCTAAATGGGATGAATCAAATAAATGTGGAATATAACCCATAAATAGGACCCACTACCACCTAGGAAATTGCATCTATTGCTGGATTCCTGTTATTAAGACAAAAATTCCTAACTTTCAAATGCACTGTGTCACTGTATCTTTAAATGGCATGTTCTGTATGTCCCCCGAGAGTCAATTTCTTTTAATTGCAATACTTTGCATAATCCATCTTTCCTCAATCTGTACTACCCAGATGTTCAAGAATCCCAATTTCCAGAACTTTAGAGAAAACTTTGCATAATTTGTCAATCCTTTCAGGGGAGAAAAGAATGATATCAGACTTAAAAACAAAAAAGCACTTGTCTTCTTTGTCCACATTTTCTATTGCCAGTCTTCCAGCAGTCAACCCAAATATTTGGCTGCACAAAGATCTTACTTTTTAGCAAGGTGGTCTTAGCTTAAACAAGGTACCACTTCACATTAGTTTTCATTTTATTCATTCCCACACATTGGAGGAACAATAAGTTTAGTTCCATTATGCCCCCAGACCTCAATTGGCCATTCATATTCCAGAACACCTTTTTAAGAATCTCTCAATTCTGCTGCCGATATTGTCCATCACTGTAAATGGAATTAGGGGACGGGGTTGGGGGAAAGGAAAAATCCCAGTGTGCGCACCTACAAAAGGCCCAAATTAAAGGCTGCAGGAGCTGCAATCTAGAGGCACAAAGGAACATTTCATTCCCTCACTCCCCAATGCAATCCTCAGACATCCCCCAGAAAGCTGCTCTAGTGGGTCCCTCCAAGTTTTATGAATAGATCTAAGTGTGCACTAAGGAACTCAGAAGAAGAGGCTGGGGGGAGCCAGTTCTCCTATGTCTCTTCTATCAGCAGAAACAGAATGCTGGATTTCACCAAGCCCTAAAAAGTGAAAGTAGGTCTGAAAATATACACATCACCTGCCAACTGTGTGTAAAGATAACCTTCTTGTCTGATGTGCTTAGCAACACCCGTAACAGCAAGCTTTTAAAATCTTCAGTGAATTGTAAATGCCAAAGACTTGAATGAGCAAATCTCGTGACATGTTTTCAGTAGCTTTTCCAAGATTTATTGTCTGCACTGAGAAGAGTAAGTCAGTGAGTGATCTCCCAGCCTCAGAATGTTACGGTTACAGAACTTTAGAAACATTGCTCTGCATATTCAGCCGAATGCCTGTCCTGGATTTTCCCTAGAAATCTCAAAATCTGAATTTCTACAGACACAATCAAGCTCTGATATTAAATCATCTGCACTTCAAACTGCACTTTTCTACTAGCACTAAACTTAACTACATTTGAAGGAAAGCATGCATAAGTCTTCGACCTGAAATGAAGAGAAGACAGGGGTAGTAAAAGATTGTTACCAATTTCAGCATCAGAAAAAAGAAAAAAAAGCAAGAAGCTTCAACTTTTATATTCTGTTCTTGGCCAGATCTCACACTCAGCTCTGGGAAAGAAAACCACAGCTCAGCAGGAAAGGATGTTCTTTGTATTTACGAATCCACCAATGCAACTGCTCTATCAGGAAGCCTTATTAAACCCACTCAAAAACTGTGCCATAGCGATTCAAGACTTAATAGTAAATAAAGTGACCAGATGAGGCTCAATGGGTCGTTTCTTCAGAGCCACAAACTTGCTCTTGATACGCCAGGCTATTTCTTATCCTGCTGAGAAGACAGTGCTTCATCCTTTTTTTTTTAAATCCTTTAGAAGGGCTAACAAATCATAGTCAGACCAATTAAAAGTCCTGGGAATCAAAAGGAGTAAGTTCGTTCTCCAAATGTCACTCTCAAGCTACCCAACTTGCACCATCTGCATATAGGAAGCTCTGCTGTTGCCAAGTCAGCCTCTGGGTCCATTGTCAGTATGGAGACTGATTGGCATGCGTACTCTCTGGTTTCAGGCAAGCCTTTTTCCAGCCTAGCCTAAGAAGTCCTGCATACCATCCTGTCACCTGTCTACAAGCAAAGCAAGGGGTTTTGACCCCATACCCAGTAGGGAAAGATAACAGATTTCATGATCAGATGATTTGATTTGATTTTTTTTCAAGGTACAAAAAATGCAGAAAAGAAATAGTAATTCAACAGGTAAGAAACATAACAGGTTGGAGCTACATTGTAGCCACAGAACGGGAATTCAACAACAGGCAGTAGAGGCAGAACATCAGAGGAAAGGAAGGAAAAATCAATATCCCAACAACACAAAGGTTGGCATTTTTGAAGAGGATCACTCAACCCTGCAATATGTTTATGGACATATCGTGATACTAATAAAGGAGAGTATCTGTAGCTCAGGATTGACATGAGGGGTCCTTGGTGGTCTCTGAGCTTGCCTGTTTTCTTGCAGAAGTTTCAATTACCCTAACTAGGTATCATCATTGGGCACTGATGAAGCAAACAAGCAAGCTCTGAGACCACCAAGGACCCCTCACTTACATGATGAAGAATTTGACAAGATATTGCCCTATGCTGACGTCTTCAAGCAACTGGATATTAATATCCCCAAGGGCCTCACAAAAAATGGGAGAAGAAATATCATTGCTGTTCATGGGCATCCAGTTACTTAATCCAGGGAATAGTTGTGTGTAAATTTTGCTCACTCTTCTGAGTTCAATTCCAGTTGCTTTCAATAAAACATTAACTCTGCATTCTCCTCTGGGGACAGTCCTTTTACTGAACAGACCTGCCATCCCAGCTCAGTCTGGAGCAGGGATCTTCAACCTTGGCCACTTTAAGCCTGGAGGACTTCAACTCCCAGAATTCCCCAGCCAGCTTTTGCTTAAAGTGGCCAAGGTTGGAGACCCCTGGCCTGGAGCATTTCTCAAACTTGATACGCTTAGCAACTAAGCGCACCTTTTTAAAGTTTGGGAAAAATTCCAAATCAATATATTTTAACAACATGCAAAGGCAGATTATTATCATCGTCTATGGAATGATAATTACATATGATCTTTCAGTAATCTTGTACAATACAAAAAAAATAATTCTTGTATAAATAATTCTTGTACAGGCGGGGGAAAAAAAGTTCTTTCAAAATCGACAGAGCAATAATAACACTTCTTCTTCACACGTTTTATCCCCGTAATCATCCGTTTAGGCCGGTCACCCTTCTCCATTACCAAGTCAACGCCACTGAATTATTCAACTCGCCAAATCCTACCCGGTTGCCCGTATTTTTTACACCCGATCACGCCCCCCCCCCACCAGCGTCGCAGCGACGCCCCCTGCCGTACGTCGTCGGCACTGCAAGGGTTGCTCTAGCTGAGCCTCGGATCAAGCCGATTCCAATAACTGGCGACGAAACGGATTGAAGAAACCTTCAAATTCAACATCTTAACGCGCCCCTGCTTTTTTACTTACTTCCCTTCTCTTCCAGCCCCACCACACACCCCACCCCCGCCATCCAATGGATAGCCCGAAGCGCAACGCAACATTTAAAAGCCAGGCAAACAAGGGGGGGGGGGGTGGAGGGAGTTATTTTTAGTCCATAATCTTACGAAGGCTTTACGGTACCTGAGAATGAAACCCTCTCACCAGGCGCCGCGCGGTTGTCTTTTGGCGTCCCTGCGCCCGCAATTGCGTCCCAATGGAAGCAATCGCCCTTGAACGCAGCTCTTGTCTGCAGATTGAATCGCACCCAACCCAACCCTTCGCCCTTCCCAAGTGAGAGAGCTTGTCGCTTGTTTTCCGCCCCGGCCCTTCGCTCTTCGGCTCGCCCGGGTGATTTATGCGTTTTTCCTTCCTCCTCCCGTTTCTCACCCCCGTTGCAAAGAGTTAAACACGGCCAGGGGGCATTTTTTTTTCCGAAGGAGTCCGCAACCTCAAGCGGCTCCCTTCTCGTTGCGGTTGGTGTTTGGTCAGCTGTCCCGTATAGGAGACGCCGAAACGAGCTGGCGAAGAATTTTATACATACATACATATATACACATACATATATACACATACATACATACCATACATACATACCATACATACACATACATACATGCATGCATACACACAGCCTTAACTTACCAAGCTCTTCCATGCGGGATGCCGGGATGGGGGACGTGGGGAAGGTGTCGGCTGGGTGGAAGGTTTTATTTACCTCTCTTCTGGCTGGCTGGCTTCTCTCCGTCATCCAGCTGAGGACTCCCGACCTGCCATGCCCCGGCAGCGGCTCCACGCCCTCCGCAAACCTCCCCCGCGGGATTTCGCACCGGCGAGCAAACTCTTTTTAAGTCATGGGGGAAGGGGGTGTGGTGGGGGAGAAACGGGGCGGCGTGGACGCGCCCTTTGAAGCTCGAAGCCGGGACTGTTTTCCGCTGCCAGTCGGAGGCCGGTTTACAAAAGCACCGCAAGCTGGAGCTAGGCGGCGGGGCTCGCCTGCGCCGCTACTGTGCTACCCTCTCTTAAAGGGACCGGCCTCCAGTTCCAACCGGAGGAAAAGCAGCGCTGCGGTGAAGGTACCGAAATTTGGGCTCTCTCTCTGTGTGTGTGTATTTTTAAAGGAGCCTCGACGCTCTTGAATGAAAACGGCGCTTGGGGGGATGCCAAGTTGCGCTCCCGCAGCCCCCACCGCGCCACACCAGAAGCCGAGCCTTCGCTTTTGGTGCTGGTTTGGTCGCTCCCCGTTTAAAGCTCTCTCTCTCTCTCTCGTCAAATGCTGCATCCTGCAGCGGTGACATTTATGGCCTTCTCTTGATTCCATTCCTTGCCTCTGTTCCCAGGCTACCTGTCAAAGAGAGATGCCGGCTGCGGAAGATTTGCAGCTTGGCAGATCTTGATGATATCTGTGACAGGTGAGAGCTGTGGAAGCTGTATTTTTTTAAAAAAACGTTCGTGGAGCTCAGAAGATTAAGTCACTCTTGGGCTGGGGAACGGATGGAGGTAATGACATGCGGGCCAAACCCGGAGCATTTATTGGGGCCGTGGTTAAAGGCAAGTAGGGAAAGGGCCCTTTTGCTTCTGGGCCCATGAGATTTAGAGTCCTTTCTCTTACAGCTCTGAAAATCCCATCTGTTAGATCAGAGTCCCCCAACTTTTCCGGGTTGGGGGCCTGGAAGGGGTGGGGGGGACAGCTAGTCTAGTAAAGAGAAGGACCAGGGGAGACATGATAGCAGTCTTCCAACATTTGAGGCGCTGCCACAAAGAGGAAGGGATCAAGCTATTTTCTAAAGTGTCTGTAGGCCAGACAAGGAATAATGGATGGAAACTGAACAAGGAGAGATTTAACCTGGAAATAAGGAGAAACTTTTTGACAGTGAGAACAATCAACCAATGGAACAGCTTGCCCTCAGAAGTTGTGGGAGCGCCATCACTTGAGACCTTCAAGAAGAGATTGGACTACCATTTGTCAGAAATGGTGTAGGGTCTCCCACTCGGGCGGGGGGTTGGACTAGATGACCTACAAGGTCCCTTCCAACTCTGATTATCTGTTATCTGTTAGTTGGTTTTGTGGGCAAGACAGGAGAACGCCCCCCCACCACCACCATTTGTGCAATTGAGGCACGGCTGCAAATAGGCTGTGGCCCACAGGTTGGGGACACCTGTGCTAGATGCTAAGGTTGCAGAAGACAAGTAAAGTGAGACTGCCAAAGAGCCATTAGTAAACAGCCCAACCAAAGAATCCCTAAGACCACCCACACAGACAGGTAAGAAACCAGAACATAAACTGATGGCTAACAGCTCTTCTTACTAGCACAGATGATGTTACCTAGTTTGGGTAATGAAACATCTGCAAGAAAACAAACAACCTCAGAGAGCACCAAGGACCCCTGCTTTCAACCCTGAGCTGCAAATGTTCTCCTTTATTGGTAAAGAGAGACTGTGTATATGCGTGAAGCAGCTTTTCCCAGCTACCAATGCACCGTGTGGACAATTACCTGACTCTGCGGGGCTTCATGCTCAGTTCTTCCAAAGCATCCAAAGATCTTATTGCTACAGGCTTGATGTGATGGCCCAGATGTGGAAAGTCACAGGATTTTTATTTAAATGGGTCCTTTGAAAACAGGCCTGAGACCTTTATTTTGCAGCACCAATATGAAATGCGGTTGTCAGACCTGGTTCATGCATCACTAGTGTTTTGTTCAACCATGAGATAGATATAGAGATAGAGATAGATATAATAAATGGCATCTGTAATTATATTAAGCCACAAATCATAGTTTACAAGCTATACTTCTCTATTTAGTCAACATGCTGAGGCAAAACTGAGTAAAATACATTATAACTCATATAATGTGTGAATCCAGAATAAATAATACTAGATTGTGTAAATAATAATGGCCATGTTTACCAGACACCCTAGGCCAGGGGTCCCCAAACTTGGCAACTTTAAGACTTGTGGACTTCAACTCCCAGAATTCTCCAGCCAGCATAGCTGGCTTAGCTATGCATAGCTGGCATAGCATAGTTGACTGGAGAATTCTGAGAGTTGAAGTCCACAAGTCTTAAAGTTGCCAAGTTTAGAGACCTCTGCCCTAGACTAAAAAGCTTGGTTCGTGAGTGTCAGCTGCCATTTTATTCCCCACCACATATAGTTCTACAGCCAACTAATCGTGGTTTGCCATTTTGTTCAGACTTAAAACAGTAACCAGTTTGGGTATCTGGAAGCCAGAACATTTACCCAATGTTTCCAGAAATCCCCAAAGTAAGTCACAGTCATTTTTAATGCTCTTGTCTTGTAAAGAAAAATAAGAACCTCCCTAAAAAAATATGTATTTAAAACCAGTGCAGTTTTTTAATGCCATTCTTCTCTAAGAAGATACAGCAGATTATACAATTTAAAAGGGAGAGAAACAAGAAGAATCAATAAGAAGACAGCACTGTTGAATCCCATTCTCCTTCTAGCAGATAAAAAGTAATCACTCCAAAACTCTGGGAAGTCAGTGGAGAGGATTCATATGAATCTGCTCTTTAGCTTATAACATGCTCTTTAGAATAATATAGCTGGAAGTGAGAGGCCTGAACACATGAACAATCTCCCTCCTAGAGGTTGTGTAGGTTAGCACAAGGGATTTCTCACTTTCTGCAACCCCAACAGTTCTATTAACATAACCTTAGAATAGAGCTGGAAGGGACCTTGGAGGTCTTCTAGTCCAGCCCCCTGCTCAAGCAGGTAATCTGGTGGGATAAAAGGAAGGAAGTAACTGTCTCTCCAGGATGTTTGATTGTGCTAGTGTTTTAGAGGAGAAAGATAGTAGGTTTTCCAACTCAATAGCCAGAACTGGTTCTCTAACTGCAGACCAAGGCAAAGCAATTTGCAGACTGAGCCCCATTCTTAAGATCAGTGGTTGAAAACCTCTAGCCTAGATGAATGACCAGCTAACCACAGGGAAGGTACATCTTGGTAAAAGAAATGGCAATGCTGCCAACTATAATACACATGCATTTTTCTGTGCTAGTGGTCCCTGCACTGCCAGAGTTATCCAGCATCATATTTTTTTTCAATAGAATGATTTACAGGAACCCAATGAAAACCTCAACTATCAAAGCTCTCCAATTAGACATATATATATATTGACATCAGGATTTCATTAAAGAAATCTATGATTTTTCAAAAAAGTTTTTCTTGAACAATAGTCATACAAATTTGCACATGCATACAATATTTAATGCAAATGCAGTTTCCTCTATAGTATGTGTCTGTGTGCCCTCATCTATTATATAAAGAAAAAATGGGATGAGTAAGATCTTTCTTACAACAAGGTCTATTATTAATTATCACCTTCCAGTGAAAATTGGGATTTTTTGGGTAGTTATTGTGATACTGACCATTCCTTCCTAAGGACCAATGAGGCAGTCCTTCCATGAGGAGTAAATGACTAATAACTATTAAACTGCATCAAATGAATTTGATAAAGATTTCTGCGTGACCTAAATCATTGCTATTTAAACCTAGTTTTTTTTTTTATCTCCGTTGCTAAATTTTTGCCAGCAAAGGATAGAACAAGCAGACCTCAAGACAATGGCCAATCTCTAATCTCTAATTTGACCTCTGAGCCAAAAAAAATACCATGGAAACTTTTCAGCCAGCAAATAGTCAGCCAATAGAAAGAAATGAAAGAAAGGTTCAGCCAAACTCATAAAGTACAATGGTGGGGAAAGTAGGATAGGGCTGGCTTTGTGCACAATGTTTCTCTGACTGATTAACCTTCACCTGAGAGGGCTGGGCCATGTTCCTGGGGACCAATGAGAGTCCTGGAAGGAAGAGGCAGAGTTCTAAATTTCTCTCCTATTTTGCATCTATTCTATATAAAATTGGACACACTAGTAATTGGAAAAGAAGATAAACTAAGTCTAAGCTTATGGACCTTCAATTTCTATTTGTATTCCAGTTAGTGTTCCCAACTCTGGCTGCAAATATTTCTCCAGGAGCACTCCCTCAAATTTTTACTCAATATTAACCAAGATAAATAAGAATTACAATCCAAATCTCTATACATTACATAGTGTTCACCTTTCCTTCCACCAAAACGAGTGCTGACAAGGAGAGAACAGTGTTACTTAGTTCCCTTCCAGTTAACTAACTACAGATGCTGAAGAAAACCATAGGAAACCTGGCTTAAAAATATTTGCAATTAGATTTAAGTGTTCCCAGAACCTCTGGAACTCCCCAGTGCTTAGTACTTATAGATGCACTTGAAGGACCAGACATGAGAAAAATATGAGCATCCCATCAGCCCTTGCCATATGACCAATGAGGAGAGATAATGGAAGTGACAGTTCATCAACATCAACAGGGCCATTCATTAGCCACCCCTGAAAAGTATGTAAGATTAATTAACAGAAATAAAGCTTTTTGTCATTATACCATGTATGTAAACATAACCCAGACTCTAATTATGCATACTATGCCTAAAGTCCATAAATTCTGAGCTTCAAAAATGTTTCAATAATTCCTTTGCAAATCTAATTTTATGAGTCAGAAAGAGAAGTATTCAGAAGCTGCTCTGAGACTGAAATGAACCTACAAATATCTCAGTGGAGAGTCATGTCTCTAATTATAAGAAGATGAGTTTTTAAAAAAATGTAACAGGAGAGCATTTTCTAAAAGTGAGATTATTCCATAAAAGGAAGTTGTTTTCTGCATTGTGCTGTGCCTCTGTATCAGCCTTGGCTAATCTAAATCATTTCTTAGATCAGTTGTCAAAACAAAGGAATCTGAGTATTGTTAAACTAAGGACAAAGGTACCGATTGTGTATAGAGTTTCTGTGCCAGGCTGCTTGTTCCCTCTGACAAAGAGGTTAAACAAGCGCATATAGATTGGGAATGGACAATAAGCAGTGCCCAGCTTTGTTGTTAGAAATTATAAATATCTCTTACATCTGACCCAATATAGTTACATCTTCATCTACGCTCAGAGATAAAACAGGGGAAATCTT